TCGATCCAAGTGATGCTGGGGGCGAGCGCAATCGTCCTGGTTCTCAATGATCCTCCAGATTTTCAAATCATCCACAAACAGAGCACATGGTGACTGGAGCTGCTGCGGGAGGTCGTTGATACGAATAAGTAATAACACTGGTCAAAGTACAGTTCCTTGAGGCACGCCACTGGTCGATGGGAACCAGTCTGTCACGTAGTCATTAAACTGTACTCTAAACTTTCGTCCAACAATAAACTCGTGTAACCACTGAAGTAGAGTGTCACCGATTCCGTAGGTCCTCAGTTTATGAAGGAGTACCTCGTGGATCACTCTGTCAAACGCCTTACTAAAGTCGATGTACACCACGTCAACATCCTTCCGTTCATTCAGAGTTCGTACCCACTGGTGGTTTGCATACACCAAGTTGGTGATGCAGGATCGCCCTTTGGTGAAGCCGTGTTGTGCTGGTGTCAATACGTCCGTCGATTCGAAGAATGACAGCAAACACTTTTTCACAGCCTCCTCGAGAGCTTTGGATAATATAGAGGACAAACAAATCGGTCTATAGTTCTCTACTTTACTCGGATCACCACCCTTGTGAATCGGTCTCACTATCGAGCATTTCCAGTCGTTGGGGTCATATCCTTCAGAGAGTGATTTATTAAATAGGTTTGTCACGGCTGCTGAGATGACATTCGATAGGGACTTATGTATTAGTGAGTGAAGTCCGTCTGGTCCGGGGGGGGGGCTTTGCACCATCAAGGTTGACGAGTGGCTGATACACTTCGACTGCATCACACTGAACGCTGTCAAGCAAGACTGGCGCAATCTGTGCCGATACTGAAACAGCCGCCGGTTTACTGGAAAATACGGTGAGGAAATGCGTAGCCAAGGCGTCCGCGTGCTCCGCGCTTGAAATGGGGGCTTGTCCGTCCAAGCTCTCTAAGACGGGTAAATCGCCCCCAGGCTTTAGTTGACGTTTCAATTTGACAAATATTCTCTTGTGGGCGGTTGTGGCGGAGGCTGCTAGCTCCTCTTCCAACTGCCGGCGTGTTTTGATCTTTGCGGCGTTACATATGTCACACTGTTCTTTGTACACCGTGTAATCTTCATCATAACCCGAGATGATGTATCTCTCACAAAATTTGCAACGCCGACGCGCTAACCGTTTATATTCCTTATCAAACCAATGCGGTTTGACAGGTCCGACTTTTGAATATATCAGGGGAACGAAGCGAGTACACAGCGAGTTAAGCTTCCCCTTCATTAATGACCAACAGGCCTCAAGCGACGTATTTCGTGGTAGTGTCCAATCAGTCTTACTTGCGGCTTGGACGAGCCCGTTGTAGTCTGTCTTCCAGTACTTGAATGTCGACTTCCGCTGGTTGTAATACAGCAACGGCAGTTCTATGCTTACCACAATGGAGCAGTGGTCACTTTTCTCCAGAAGTTCGAGGACTCTGATCTCGTTCAGCTTCTGCTCGCAGCGCGTAAATATTAGGTCCAGACAAGCTGCTGAGTGCGGAGTTACGCGCGGCGGTTGGATGACATGTTGTATTGCCCCGATTTCAATAATCATTTTAGCGAACTGAGCCTCAACGTTGCCATAACGAGGAAGAAGCCGAACGTCTGGTCAGAATTTCTTAGGTAAATTTAGATCCCCTATCAATAAGAACTGAGGGCGGCTCATGTGTTTCTGTATATGTGGTAGACAATCGCAACAACGGTTTAATGGGCTACGGTAGATAACGCCCACTATTAGTTCTGCGCGTCTGAGGCGGATTGTGTACCACAATTGCTCGCATAAATTGTCCTCGCTCCGATAGGTGCTGGTAAGTTTACCAGATAGTGACGATTTGATGTACCCCAGAATACCACCGTGAGCCTTTGATTTTCGGTCGCATCGGAAACAAGAGTATCCTGACAACGCGACTTCTTGAGGTATGACGTCGGAATTTAGCCAAGTCTACGTAAGTCCTAAAACGTCCGTCCACTCCGAGACAGGGAAGTGCCACAGTTCGTCACATTTGTTCATTAGGCTGCACACGGAGGTCCTGGGAGGTACCGCAGGAGGTGTCTGGAGGTTGAGCAACCGGTTGATACGGGTTGGTACACCCTTCTTGATCAGCCGAAAATTTGCAATTTGTAAGTCAGTCTCACCTACTTTAGTACGGCGTTTGAGCTCAACGACCGCAGCCTTCAATTGATCTCTATCTTCGGGTTTCAAGTCTCGGCGGATGTGAACCTTTATGCTTTTCAGCCTTGACAGATGAGACAGTATGAGCTGCATATCGTGATCTGCAAAAGTGAATCTCAGAGGTCGACATGACTGGTTAGTTTCCTGGCCAAGTCGGACTACATGTTTAATCGTTACACTGTCTTCACCCACATCCAAGAGTCTATCGATGAGCCCCTGGAGAAACTCAACATCGTGATCATAACGTATCTGTGGGTTTTCATGTTTTGACTCTGGTGCGTGGAAGACCATATGATTATGACGCCTCAGAGAAATCGGTGATGAACCTGTGGGAGCAGGACTAGAGGCGCCTATCTGTCTGGGCTGTTGTTTATTAGTAGGGAACGCCTGAACTCGGTTACGTGGCCCCTTGCGCTTTTGAGCGGACTATGGATCCTCTGTGTTCTTAGGTTCACAGACACTCTGAGAAATTCGCGGACCGATCAGTGAAGCGGCATTTCGGAGCTTACATGTCTACGTCCTCCATCGGTGGGAAACATTGAACCTGAGGCTCGGCCGGAGTCGAAGACGCTGGTGATGGCGCAGATCGCGAAGTAACAAGGGAAGTTGAGGTCACCGAGGTACTTTCACGAGGACGTTTGACCTCAAGTAGTGAACGGTTTGTTTCTGCCTGTAAGAGAGGTTTGCTTGTAGTTGTTGGCGGTCGCTGTGTATTCTGATGTTTTGCACCGCGACATTTATCATCTATAACTTGGAAAAGCCGATGTCGGATGTCGAGAGATTTTCGAAACATGTCAATGGATAAGCCAATACACGAAATATGGAACCAAACATAGCAGCCGAAGCACCGAAGTGTATGAGCCTTATGTCCAACAACTTTCGAACACGAACCACAAGTAGCTTGAGGCGGCATCACGAGGTAGAGTAAATCCAAGATGGAGGACAAAGACGGTAGTTGGGCCAATCAATGAGATCACCGGAATTAACCAAAGAGTAGTTATCAAATTTGCACCGATTGGAAAATCGACTAAAAGAAAAATATTGGTGCACAATTCCTACAGAAAAAATCACTTATAACACAGTAATCCGAAGTAAAAGATGTATTCAGCATACGCTGATTCAAAATCTGCAGCGTCCGTGGGTACAGCTAACCTGATGGAAAATCCTTATGTAATCCTGCGCTCAATTCTTAGTGTAGATAACTTAGCAGTCTATTTCGGGAATTAGCACAGCGTTTTATTTCTATCAACACTTAAAACTTAACTTCCGTGAAAAAATTTTACATTTATCCGCTGATTCGTTACTTCTTTTCCTATCCCCGCTGAGGGCTAGTGCACTGACAAATCTCTTTCCATGATGAACAACCGATGATAGATTCTCAATTTCTGGTTGGTTACCTGGCATCAAGAAAGTAACCCTAAATGCTTCAGGAAGGCTTCCGTTGGTTAGAAATTGGCGAATAGGCAAGTGAAACAGCATTTAGTTACAGCTTACAGTTCCTTATTTTCCTGTGAAACTATGGTCCGAGTGAGCTAGTTTCTCTCACAAAATTTCCGTATTAGCTTTATTATCCGACATAATTTTCGATCGAATTGCAAGCGGCCTGCTGCAATTGCTTGTAACTTCTTGGTTATGCCTCGCCAGCCGTGTCCCATCAAAACAGAGAATACATTATTATTACCATAAGTATTACACACAACAATGGAACTGTAAGCCGGTACTTCGCACTGACGCTTCGCTGTCACGCGACCATCACTAGTCGCGCGCAAATAAGCAAGAACACGAGAATGACAGCACCTACACGCAGATTTGAACCGGTGAGCTGTGGCTTACAGTGCCTTATATCCATTGGTCACCAGCCTATGTGAAGGTTGAACACAGAGGACAATAAGTGACCACCACAGCCCCTGACCGTAGACGTCCGTGAAGCAGCAGCTTCCGTGTGATTGTTTGAATGAGTCATGCTGTCTGGTAGTAGAGCACGTGGTTGATTGAGTTGGTAGTGATTTTGCACGGTACTCCAACGTCTCAGGTGTCAGCCACGCGTGCGTCAATAAACTTTACCATAGTGATTGAACGCAAAAGACGGTCAAGTGCTGACTTGATATGAGCAGGTGAAACGGTGAACTGGCTAAAGATGGGCAAACTGAGTGGTATCAAGAGAGTCAGGCTAAGTAACGAATTGAAGCGCCTCGCACACATGGGATAACCAAAGGACTAGTGCAGTAGACCCTTTTAAGTATGTGGTTGTTGTGGCCACCTGGTTTTTTTTACCACATACCTGTGGTCGCACGGGATATGGCAGCCAAAAACCCCACTGTGACAAAACGTTCGAATGCTCATTGGATGTTTGAACCACGAAACAAAAGGGTAACAGTGGAATAACGGGGCCCCTGATTCCATGGATGCTGCATCTGTGTCAGGTGACGAGAGAAGATCGGATGGTAGCATATACCCGGATAAGAGTCGATCGAAGGGAGCAAATCGAATGATGAACGGAGCCGATAGGACAGAAAGTTCGTAGTCACATTGGAAATGATAGACAAAAGGTTATGTTCATTGAGTTTAATATTTTACCGAAGTGGGAAGACAAAAATCAATCGTCAGAGAGAAGGGTGGGCGAACATGTGGCCAATAAGAGGGAGAAAGATCGGTAACTGAAGATTAGGTTGAAGTGGAAGGAAAGCGAGTCATGTGATGAGAGGCAGTAAACAACAGGCCAGATGAGTGAACAGACAGGCTGAGACAAAACTGCAGAAAGCGAGGATACTATTTTTCGGTTACTCTAACGGAAATCTAGCGTACAGTTCGGAGTACTCACTTTGCGTCCGCAATTCGACTAGCCAATGCAAGCGCAGAGAAACCCCCAAACACAACCGAGTGAACAGCTCCGATGCGTGCACAAGCCAGCATAGCCACAACAATTTCAGGAACCATGGGCATGTAGATCGCGACGCAGTCGCCCTTTGTGACACCGAGGGATTTCAATGCGATGCCAAAACGCTGGACCTGCGTGTGAAAACGTTGTGAAATCAGGAATTTCAGAACTGATAAAAGTGTGTCAGACAAATAGAAATACAAATAAACAATCAAAAAGTAAACGAGACAAATCAGTACAGCTGTGTAACTGTGACGCGTGCAACTAAGTGTGGTGCATTAATTTGCTACGAATCACGCAGCCAAAGAAAACGGAGAGTAATAAAATGGTAGCAAGTAAAGCAAACAAGAAAAAGGCCAATTCAGGAAGAAGAGGAAAAATAATATCTCCGAATAGAAGAGTTAAGAACCGAAACCAAGAGCCTGAACGCAGGAGTAACACTGAGAAAGTGACGGCATCATAACCGACTTCTGAGCACAAATGTGAAGAAGCCAGAGAATCCCATCCAAAACGAGATGCGGCATCCGATTTAGCTTATTGGCAGATTTCGTGCCGCCTCTGGGTCCCAGTTAAATAGCTGGGTTTGTAAAAAAAATACACATCGAGGAAGATGGTCAGTAGAATGACCGAAGAGATGAACAAGTTAGCGCATGTAACTCAAGCTTCATAAACAATTCAGTTCTGCAGTAGCTGGCGGAATTCAGTAGCAGCTGTTCGGCGACGACGTCAGATACATGTGACACTTCTCGCGGCCAACTACAGCCAGTTTTCAGCTCGCAGTGGCAACGTCTCTGGGCTACACAATAACACTGGCCGCATTACAGCATCGTGTACACCCTGCGCTTGGCCGAAAAGCTTTTGTCACGTTCGCCACAAATGGCTGAGGACTTAAAAAGACACAAAGGTTACCAGGATCAGCGTAGCTACGTCCTCAGTGACGTGAGTGGAGAGGTGATACAGCAACCTGGTTAAGCGGATTGAGCAATCACTTCCAGGGGTTGTTTACTGGTAAAGACATCTAGTGGCGGCTTGGGTTAGAGTCCCCCAACACACACATTGGTTTACGTTCCCCGGTAGTGCCCAGAATCGAGTATCATTACCTGCGGTTGAATAGCAGTGAAGCGGCAGTACAAAATACCGTATCTGATCTCAGTGGTGGTGGGTGCGGAGAATGCGACGTTTCAGGTAAGTACAGTAAATTCAACCAAAAGGTGACCGTGAAACAGGTGAAATATCTTTCAAAATGTCCATTTTAATGTTAAATATGAGATGACCCCGGAGCTAAGTAAATGATCACTGCCTATCGTACAGGAACTTGTCTTGGACCCGGGAGCTGGACAAGATGGAATTACGCTGTGGTATTCCAAATATCGCTGTTCTCTAATACACAGACTAATCATTAAACAACGCTCCTGGTCAACCCTAAGAAATCAAGTGATGCTTAGAGATGCAGCGGACATTCTGAATCTGATACTCCCAAGGAACCATCTAAATTTCAAAGTAGTCCAAGCCTCGGAAATCTATCGACTACTAGGATGCATCGAATTGGGTTGAAAAGCGACTTCGATTGCATTCGTTTACAACGAATTGCAGTTGGTTCAAACCAGCATTCTGTTCCGTTTATCTGGTTCTTCCGTGAAAGCTAGTGTTGCAACTTGGCCTTACATTACTGATTCACAAGTAATGAGTACACATAGTGAACAAACACTCGAAAAAACGCACTTCGCCGCAACTGCAGGAGTGAGTGCCATGTGGTCAACAACGGCAGCGTGGTTCAATTAGAAGTGTCCCGGAGAGGAGGAGAATTCCAGGGTGCAATGCGTTAACTGTGAGCGAAAGTGACGTGGTAAAGTTGAGTACAAAGCAGACTGGTGGAGATAAAGGCCAGACAAGAGCAATAAAAGGTGCCCCGATAGTAATCTTATCCGCTAGATGTAAGAAACCGAACGTTATTTAGCCAATGACTCAGTGAATGCACCCAGTTGAAGGTCTCCAAAATCTGGTGTGGCCAGTACAGGGGCGTCTATGTAGTGAGTGTACCCACCACCAGCCAGAGCGGTGTTAACTGCATCCACCGCACTGGCGTTTAGATCACGCCGGTACTGAGTACGGACGCTTCGCTGCCGCGCTACCAACACCTGTCGTACGTGCGCTACAGACACTGCGTAGGCCGCCCGGCCCTACGCAGGATCGAACCCGCGCCCTCAGATTACAAGGCAGACTTGTGATCCTTAAGTTTACAGGTCAGCGCGGCATACTCAAAACCAGATTCAATTTCGTGCATGTGAGTCCCAAAGCGCGCGCCACTGACTCCAACTTGTTCACAAAGCCAGCTTCTGATGAGGCTGTAACGCCCCCTATCAAATGATCGTGTTACTTTGGCGGTTATAAAAGATATCCTCCAACATTTGTCAAGGACGCATGTAAATCATGTGGTTGAGCTGGTCACACTCAAAAGCTATGCCACCAAGGTAAACGCATCGCGTCTCTCATAGATGATTCACTTCCATATTTAATCACTACTGCCGAACCACGTTATCTGACTAATGCAAGGATGAATATCACCGCTAACGGGGTTGCTTTATCAACACTCATCGATAGAGGTATCTCTGAGAGCCACGTCTCGCCCACCGTAGCATATCAGCACCATCGGAAAATACGTCGCTCTTACAAGCAATTACCGGGGCCGCGACGTCGCACGCTACATCTATGAAGGAGCACAGTCTGATTAACATAGTACACAAGGATAACGTTTACTCGCAGTTCGTGTTCTTAGTGTTGCCCAAACTCTGCGCCGGTTCGCTCGGCCATGACATAGTAAGGCTTCCCATGCAAGACTTCAATGCACATTTGGTGACCGGAAACCATACATTTGTCTATGAGATGACAACAGAGCACACTGTACGGTCTTTTCAGTTCCAGCATTTGGCCCCTGATATTCGTCCCATTGCCACGAAGACACGACGACACTCCCGATTAAAGAGGGATTTACTAAAGCTGAAGTTAACAATTGCTTACTGAACAGATAATCGAACCGTTCATGGAGCGCACAAGTGCATGCGAATATTGAGACATAAAAGGCGGGTGATTATCAATTACAGCCAGATGATCGACCGGTTCACCTTTGTCGATGCGTTTCCGTTACCTCAGATCGATGAACTAATTGAGGTATCACAATGATGGTTATAGCACTTTGGACCTGCGAAGTGCAGATGATCAAATACCTATAAACGAAGTGAAGTAGTGTACACCGCCTTTGAAGCTCGCTGGAAGTTTTATAAGTTTCGTCGTATTCCCTTCGGAGCCACAGACGGCGTGGCGTGTTTCTAATGAGTCATACTTAGTTTTATTGAACGAAAACCGCTATCTGGTACCTTTGTGTATGTAGATAGTAACGTCATTTGCGGAGAACCACGAAAAACATGACTGCAATCTCGGGCGGTTTCTATTTTTGGTACATAAGTATGGACTGACATATATCCAGGACAAAAGTATTGTCAGAGTGCAGGAAATTACTGCCTTAGAACTCGAAATATCTAAAGGCAAACTCAGGCCGGAAGCTGATCGATTCAGACAATTTCGTGAACTTTACCGCACGATCTTAAAAGCGAGGCGTCGAGAAGTTGGCCTATTAGTTCTAATGGATTCCTACTTTTTCCGACAGTATTCATTGCATTACTCACAACACAACTTTTCCGTTCGCCGAAACTGTTAAGGGGACTTTTGACGACTTGAAGCAGGGGTTGAAGAAAGCAGCGCTATTCATGTTTGATTCCAAAATCCCTTTGGTCGTGCATACAGATGCCTCTGATGATGTCATTGCAGCAATATTGAACGAAAGCGGTAGATGGGTGGCATTTCTCTCTAGAATCTTGTCCGTGTGTGAGCCATTCGGTACTCGCAAGAGGTCTATGCCATCGTTGGGGCTATTAGAAAGTGACATTACCTCATCGGGACTCAATAGTGACCAGCCTTTCGTTAAATTTATCTATGATAATGAACAAAAGGGTTAAATAATGACAAAATTATGAGATGGCGAATAGAGTTCTCCTGTTTTTAGTCCTACGGTAACTATCATACAGGGAAGAAAAACACCACAGCCGATGCGTTAGCACGGATTCGTTTTGTTGCTTCTTTGACACCCGATGATGTAGACAACTGCATGACTAGTTGTGTCACCCTGGAGTTAAGCGGCTATACCATTTCTCGTGCGTCCCGAAAGTTATCCATCTTCGGTTGAAGACGTCGAGACTGTCATCTGAAGGTGCAAGTCGTGCGCCACAATGAAACCTCGTTTTTACAAAACACCAAATGGCAAATAAATTAGAGATACAGCCTCATTCGAGAGGCATGGACTTCAAAGGTCTCATTCCATCTACATAACAATAAATGGAGAGTATTTTCGATTCCAACTAGCATTACCATGCCCAGATATATCTTCAGATAGTCATTCCCCGTTTGGCTCACATGTTTTGGCTGTACGGACTTCCGTCTTACATTTACTCTGATCGAGTGGCTTCGTTTATGTCCGATGAATTGAAGACATTCCTTCACAGTAAAGACACAATCACCAATCGGTCGACGGTTTACAATCCGCAAGGCAACGATCAAGTAGAGCGTCTCAAAGCAAACTTGTGAAAGGTAATTGCTTTGTCATTGAACTCCAAAGGTCTCGTCAGCACACACTTGGAAACAGTACTTCTATACCATTTCCCGGCCAAGTTGTCCACTTGGGCAACAGAAATAATCTGAGGGGCATTCAAAATGAGTCTACTCATTTTTCAGTGGTCAGGCCAGGTGTCAACTCGTCCTATTGCTCTATCATCGCCTAATACTAAGTACGTCCATTCGGCAGTGCATGTGCTCCCCGGTCGCCAACTGGAATACGCATGCGTTGGTGCAACAACACTGTTCACGACCAACTGGACGAGGCAAGTCACGGACTTTGGTATCCGATGGCAACAACCGGCGTTATGCACAGGAGACACTGATAAGTGTCGTGAAATCCTGTGCTATGTTGCAAGGCTAGTGCAAGACTGACGTAACACGGAAACAGCAAATTCCTCATCCTTGCTATTGGGGATCGTGATACTGTGTCATCGCGTTGTAACAAGAGGACGCATCCAAAAAC